AAGAGTGTTTCAGATCCCTTTCGCCCTGCAGAGGTGTTTGCCCATTGAATGATGCACAGATGTTGGTTCAGAAGTTGTTATAGCATTATCCAAGAGACACTAAAACACTGCACACAGAAACAGAATGTTAACTTTTGTTTTGTCCAGTTACATGCCTTATGTCAAGTTTGGACAAACCAAATATCCTTCAGGTAGGAGACGTCTGTGATCTGAGCCCAGATTTTACAACCCAGGCGCTTTTGCGGTGAATCTCACAATAGAAGCAGTAAATCAGGCATCAGACGATCAGTCATTTGATGTCCTGACTCCAGCTGTAGCCAGAAGATATTTTAAGAAAAGGAACAGATGAGGTCACACTTATATCCATAAAGTAAGGTTTTGCTCAGTGGTCCTCTAAAAGCTTCCGGAAAACAGCACTGTCAAGGCATTTAAAACATCAAATTTAATGAAAATTGGGAGCCTCCCTGTCCCTTTGTGAATTTGTGCAATCCCTTTATTTGTATTTATTTTTTTTATACTTTTGGCATCTGTAGCCTCCTGTGAATATAACTGTGTCCTGTGAAAGACTTTCTGCTTCCTTGTTGTTAAGTTCACTGGAGGCCCCTTCATTCCTGTGTTGGCAGAAGCAGTGAATAATTATCAGTCCCACTAAACTCTGAGTATAGTTAAAACAATTGCCAGAGAAGCCAGAAGATCTCAGAGTCCCAAAAGGATGAACTGTGCATATTTCTTATTGTAGACAGAGATACTTTTATCTCATATGTAAGATTTTAATCTAACATTTTAGCTCAAGTTATTTTTAAGATCTTCTTGCTAACAGATAATCCTTTGTCTGGAGTGGTATAAAAGGGCAAATGTGTAGTAGCAGCTACTTGACTGTATGGTAGCTGGCCAAGAAAAATATTTGGGTAAGTCTTGCTGAGTCAGGGTATGTTTCCAAATAGGCAGTGTGTCCTTTTCATTGACAGGATTTATCTCATGCAAGCCAAATCCAATACTCTGCTGCCCTGCACACCCAGGGAAATAGCGCTCCTCGTCTGCAAAAGAGACAGCAGCCCTGTTCAGCACAGTGTTAAATTATCTTAGGGTCATGTCTGCATGCGCAGTATTACACAGCAAAACAGATCGGCCAAAACCTTTATTGCTTTGCCTAGGCAGGTGCCACCTGGTGCCCAGAGAGTGTTTCGCAATTTGTCACATCCTAGATTGATGAGAGGACAGATCATTAGCATGCTTTGCTCTTGACTTGAAGATCTCACATACAAGACATACCGATACCAAGTCATCTTGTCCATTCCCCTGCCAGTTGCCAGCTGTTGGACCACGATGTACTACCAATGCCAAGCTATAAATCTGGCCAGTTTTTCTTGAAATGGAGCCGAGCAGCAGCCTAACAGCTTGCAGATCCCCTTAGCAAAACTCCTCAGGGCGAGTAATGACACTCAAACCCAAGCATCTTCGCATTGCTGGAGGTCTTGATCTGAACATTTCGTACAGTCCTCTTTCTAAGCATGGCACAGCCTCCCAGCCCCTGGAGACTTGTGGCTGTATCACACTTGCAGGACTTGCCTGGGGCAAGGGCACTGCCGACCTGAGTAGGGGCCACACATCCAACAGCTCTTTGTCACCACAGGAGTCATGAAAACATGCACCTTGTTTGCTGGCATTGCCCTGCTCTGCAGACATGCACCTGCCTAGGGCCTGCTCTCAGATGAAAGGGTAGGAGAGGAAGCAGGGACTTCCCACTGCTTTCCTTCAGAAGAGTGCAAGGTGTGGGAAGTTCAGGGTCCTGGAGCACCAAGACAGATCACTGTGCTTCAGAACAGGAGAAATGATAGCAAAGGCACTGGGAGTAAATACCAGTCAGATCCAAGTAAATTCAGCACGGCAATACCACGGCAGCAAGTATGCGTGGTATTGCATCCCTTGGGAAAATAGCATGCTCCTCCAGTGAGGACCGCCCCATTCCCTGCTGCCCTTTCCATGCAGAGATCCTGAGTCATCCTGCCTGCTCCCAGCTACCCACAGGAAGTTCCCCATCTTCACCATAACCAAAGCCCTCCTGTTCTCCTGTGTCACTGCTGTGAAGTTAGCACCACTTTAAATAAGAAGTTAAATTTAGCACAGCATGAACTCAACATCCAGAGTGAATAACCCCCATTCATTCATACATCTGACACTCCTCATTTCTGCACTGATCCCCTCTTCCATTAAGTTGTTCATTTACATTAGAGTTTGCTGGTCTACATAAACTCCCAAGATATAACATCTTTTTTACATAAGATCCATGGGGGAGGGCAGATAAACACTCAAGTGCTTCAATATGTGAACTCATGCCTAGCAGATAGTGTGGTTATCTCAGAGTCAGAGTAAACACACCAGCCTGTAAATGGCACATGATATCAAACATCCTGGCAGACAAAAAAAAAAAAAAAAAACCCACAACATTTCTTTAATAAATGTAATCAATTAATTAATTGATTGTATGATAGTCCAAATCTGTCATAAAACATCCTATCAGGTGCTGATGAAACTCCTGTTTACTTAATCCTGAATTTGTGGGACATTAGAAGATGCTGTATTAGCACAGAAATATGTCAGTGGTATAAAGTACAACCTTCACTGCAGGCTACTGCCTCACTGAAGAAAATTGTAGGTACTAGTTTTAGGGGCAGCTTTGATGTCCTCAGATATTACACTTTATATAGTTAATAGCTGGCCACTGTACCCTAGCACAGAGAGCTGCCTCTCAGAAATGCTCTCAGCTACATACATTAAGAATATATAAAAAAAATGAGTTTCTAGTGATTTGCAATTGAATGAGTGTGAGCTTTCTCTTAAGGTTAAGAAATTTTAAGTCGTCAATGACATTATTACAGCAGGTTCCATATCTTCAGTGGAATTGGTAAACTGACAGAATTCCCCCCTCCCCCCCCCCTTTTTCCTTTGTTGGTTAGAAGAAAAAGATCCTAGTCCTGCATTTGAGTACAACTGGCTGCTTTCAGTTTTTTATGAAATGTGAAAAAGCAGTTTCAGATTCACTTCAGAGCTCCACACCAGCAGCAGAGAGGGGCAGCAGCTCCCATGTCATTGCCATGTCAGAGACTTTGCAAAGGCATCTTAAGACCTCAGGTTTTGGCTGAGGAGGAGAGATGTTACTATATCCAGCTGAAGATGAGAAGTTTTAAACAGAATGGAAATGAGTAAAGAGAAGGTTTTGAAAGACACAACAAGAAATTTGCAGAAAGCTGACTGAAACCTCTTTCTCCCCACACCCAGTGAGCTTCCTCACCCTGCTCCATTTCCATTCACACACAAAACATCCCACAGGCATTTATGCACTCGCAAGAATGAGAAAGCCAAGGAAAATGAAATAACCCATTACATGCTGCTGCTGTCCCCAGCCACATGTTACTCTCACTGTTTCACTCAGGGTGTCCATCGTTACTGCTGAGCTACCCAAAGTACTGAGGGTAACTCCCGGTGCTGAGGACATCAGCTTGTGCTGGCCAGTGCAGGCGATCTCAGAAAAAAGTTTGGAGGGAGGGGACCCTGGTGTTGATCGCACTGCTGAAGACAACAGGCTCTGTCCTTGGTTCAACCTTTTAGATCAAGCTAAAAACCGTCTCTCTAAAGATCTAAAAACCACTTGGTTTTGTGATAGGAATGAGGGTCCCACATCCCCTTTCACCTTCAAAAAACTTGGCATGTAACAGCCAAATTTTTTAATATGATTTAAGGACAAGAAGTAACTCTTTTCCTAGTTCATGATTGACTTGCTCAGTGAGGACAACACCTACAAAGCACTTATTTTTTTCTAAGATTCCAAGCAAGACTATTTGCAGAAAATATTTTACATTGTATTTGGACACAAAGATTAAAAAAAAAAAACAACAACAAAAACAAACAAACAAAAAAAAAAACCACCATCCCAAAACAAAAACCAAAGAATATGCTTCATGGTTTGCCTCCATGTTTCAGTCATGAAGTTTGGTTTTACTACCCAGTTCTGATTGTCAAATATTTGCAATGAATTTTTAAATAGTTAAAATTCCTAGACTTAATGAATGAGTTCATGCTCAAGAAACACGTGCAGAAAGAGGAGTTATGACTTTTTAGATAAACCAACCAGTGGCAAGATTTTCTTGGCTGTGTTCTTCAGACAGCTAACTCAATTCCCTTTTGATTCTATACCACACTTTAATTTCCAGCATACCGACAAGTGAGATTAGGATCCAGTCACAAATGCCAGCAGAAATTAGGAGGGAGGCAAATGTCATAATCATTCTCATGTGAGGCATCTTTCACAGCAAGTGGGAAAGTGGTTAAGGGACTCCTACCCAAGCTGCTGCAAAAACACCCTACTTTCACTGCTCCTCGCATCTTTAGTGTCAGGACAGGACCTGTCCTGCTGAGAGCACAGTGTTCTCCCACTCTGACCTGGACACCATCCTGCAAAATAGCCTCGTCCAGAGGAATCTGACCAGCTGCTTCTTCTGAAGTGCCTCATTCTGTCTGTAGTCTCTTAATGTGTTCCTATAGCACCCAGTTTAAGTCATCAAAACAACATGCCTTTAAGCACACTCAATAGGCTAACTTTAAACAGCAATTGCCTACAGTATAGCCATTCAGATATTAAAACTGTAATAAGGCTGATTTAATAAAATGAAATGCATCCATTTTCAGAAACAAATCCAGTGCTAAACAAGGAAGAGAACAGGGAGAGATCAGAATTAATATTATCCTTTCCTGATATCTCTTTATTTATAAAATATTGCACACAAGGACTTACACAGGTTGGGATAATAAGAAATGGACATCTCTGCTTGGGTTGGCTTTCAAAGACATCATTTGTGAATTGTATAACAAATAATCACAGAATAATTGTTAGTATATACCCCTGGAAAAATGAGACCAGACAGTTAAGTTCAGTCACAATGTGTTTGAGAGTAAATTTCTCTAGACCAAATTTGATCACGGTGCAGACAGTGCCCGATCAATTATGGGATTTATGCTTTTAACATGCATTTTAACTTAAACTGCTTAAATAGATTCATAGGAGAAACATGAAGGATTCCTGTGCTGCTTGGCTGATCAGATTTCACAATATGTCATACAAGATAAAGCTGTGTGTGTACTGCAAATGCTCTAGGCAGAGCACCAGAGACAATGGGTACATCAAATGTGCTAAATATCCTCTTCTTCTCAGGGTTCTCATCCAGTGCCACTGACTGCAAGGCTCCCTCTGCCTTCATCAGTGGAAACCACTACCACTGAAGCACTAGAAGTGCTCTTTTTTAGTTGATCCTATTTCTTCATGAATTATAAATTCAAATTAGAGACTAATAAATATTTTTGTTTCCAAACAATTTTTTGATAAATATTTTTTCTTTCTCTTCTACTCTCTCACAAGCTCTCCATTTGCTCCCATTCAAAATAATCTGAGTTATGTGATAGCTACACAGAAAGTCTAAAAGTCTCTGTAGTAGCACACTGTGTAACATACATTAAAGAAAGTAGAAGTCTCAAAAAAAAAAAAAAAAAGAAATCTGTGAAAGAAGGCAAATCCCAAAAACATTTAAACTTTCATCTTTTAGCAAGCCGAAAATTGTACAACAGGAAGAAACTCTGAGGGTAAAATCTAACTACATGCTAAGGCAGCAGAAGGGCTATCTACCATTTAATTCTCAAAGGACATGACTATTTAGGTGCTAAGCCCTCCTGCTGGATCACAACGCAGAAGTGATTATCATCCTTGGAGAGCAAGCTGCAGAGAGCTTCTCTGTCAGTCAATCTTCAAATGATCTCTTTCCTCTTACAACTCATTTTCTATCCTGGCCTGCAGTCACTCACTACCACACATTTCAGTACATGCTTATAATGAAAAGACTGAAATGCTGCAAAAGGGAAACTGAATTTTCCACTCTATTATAACTGCAGGTCCATGTTGATGTGAATATGGGGTCTCCAAGAGAAAGGTGTGTTCTAGGACAGTGCAATGAAAAGATCTACTCTTCTGAGTTTGTGGGAGTCCTTTCACAAATGAAGTGGGAGAAATTTTATTTCATGTGACATTACAGGCATCTAACTTCACCCCACATGAAAACAAGAAGAAAACCATGATTGTGGCTTCAAAGTAGTCTAGCTGGGAGAAATGGAGAGTGAATCACTGGAGCCAGTGCCAAGATCCTAGAAGGCAGACTGTCCTTTGGACTGTAAATGGGTGTGTTTGTTCACATGGTGAACAATGTGTTCTTGCATCTTTGCTTGGTGTGAGATACTTCTCAGGTTAGGAGGAGATGCTGGGTACATGCTGGGTACCTGGACCCACACTAATACCAACATACAAGGTCTGAATCTGCCCTCTCTAAAGAGAGTTATAAAACCCCTGCTGCTGCTAGCACCGCAAGGCTTTTGAACAGGCACCCTCTTAAAGAGATGGAGCTGCTGCTAGGCTGTGCACTGCGGCTCAGCTCAGCAGAGGTTGCAGGCACCTTTGCTCAGCTGGAGATCCAGCTCATCTCCCATCACTCCAGACCGGCCATCTCATCCCTGCCACGGTACGGCAGGATAAACAGCCAGGTGGCTGACAAAACCTAACAGAATTTAATGCTGAAGACTGTGAGGTGGCCAGAAAACATTGCAGTGGGGCTTACAGGGGTTAGAGGCTGATGTCAGGAAAGGAAAACCAGAAACCTGAGGGAAAGATTGGAAAGGAAACGGAGAGAACAACATAACCTGCCACATTTCTGCAAGAAGGGCTTCGTTTCTCCCTGCTTCCAGCTCGCTGGGGATCATACTGCAGGCAGAGGCAAATATATGCACCTCAGAAAATTACCAGGTACAGGACCAGGCCCTTGGGATGAATCTCTCCCTTAGCACCAAATGGCTTTGTTGCAGAGGAAGGCAGAAAAGATGGGCGGCAATGCTTGAGGCAAGATTTTGTGTGAGATCTTAACATCAAATGAACCTCACTGTGGATTTTTCACTTTTGAAAATGTAAGGCTCCATGCTTGACAGGATTTTGCCTAGCCATGTAACATGAGATGCTGATGGCTGACAGTGGTCCTGCAGGTTCCTGTTTTGACTCTGCCAATGTTATGAGTGTCAAAAGGAGGTGGAAGTTATAAGGAAAAGGAAAGTATCCTATGGTTTCAGAAACATCCTTTTTCTACAAAAAGAAGTGAGTATGCAAAAATAAAATAGTATCCCCAAAATAAAATAAAATAAATGGTATCCCCAAAAAGATTGCACCCCGCAGTCTTTCCTTGTTTTTCTCTTTTTTGTTTTTCGTTAAATAATATGAAAACATATGAGAAAGGAAAGAAAAATGTAAAAGCCAAGAGCTTAAACACAGAAGGACTTGAAGGGACCTGTTAGGCAGAGAGGTGCCACCAGCAAAACATTGATTTGCTTTCCCTGGGGAATTCTGCGCTGCTGGGAATGCCTAATATAGATACTGAGTTAGCATGGCCAGCACCTCATCAACACCGAGTCCAAGCTTGATGGCCAGGGATCAGTCCTGTCACTTGGAGGGGACAGTCCCACCCAGGGAAGTATGGCCCCCTGCAGGAGAATGCAGTCCACACTTCCTGCTTGGCAGAGGAACGAGCTGTTTCTCCTCCCCCTGAACTGCAGTTTTGTGTCGAGCTACCAATCTCAAGCCCGTGGGCCGGTCTGAGTCAGTCTGGATGGGTGGACACAGGGCACATCCCTCAGATCGACAAGGTTTCCACAGCCTTCTCGTACATGCGGTCCAAGATGCGGTGGATGCTGGCAAAGCCTGGCCGGTCAGAAGGTAGCTTGCTCCAGCAGAGGCGCATCAGGTTGTAGAGCTCCAGGGGACAATTATCTGGGCAAGAGAGGACATTCCCATCCCTCACGTAGTAGATTACCTCCTCATGAGCCATCCCGTAGTAGGGCTGCATGCCATAGGAGAAGATCTCCCACAGCACCACCCCATAGGCCCACACATCAGACTCTGTGGTATAGCGGTTGTAGAAAATGGATTCAGGGGGCATCCAGCGGATGGGGATGGCATCATTCTCATTTGCCTTGTAATAGTCAGCTGAATACATGTTCCTTGAGAGACCAAAATCGGCTATTTTTACAACCATGTTCTCCCCCACCAGGCAGTTCCTGGTAGCCAAATCCCGGTGGACAAACTTGCGCTCAGAGAGGTACGCCATGCCAGCAGCCACCTGCTTGGCAATGCAGAGCTGGCTGGTGCAGCACAATGCCAGGGGGTTTGGGAGGCAGATCCGCTCATCCAGGCTCCCATGCACCAGGTTGCAGAGGTTGCGGGGTGAGCGATCACGCAGGTACTCATTTAGATCCCCATAGGCCATGTACTCAAACAGCAGGCACATCGGTTTCCCAACAGCACAAACACCTGGAAGAAGATAGATGCACCACAGAGGTCATTTGGGTTCTGTTGTGCAAAACAAAAAAATACAGAAATACTTACAGAAAAGGGAGACTTTCAACAATGCAGGAAGGGGCAGAGAGAGAAGCAAGCAAATACCACCAAGAATGCATGCATCCCTTTGAGTCTCTGAAGCTCCTTCACCAGGTATCTAATGCTGAGCTCCATGGGAGATGCTAACAAGACATGCAGTTGCCTGATTTTTCTGGAATCCCAGAAAAGATACTCGTTTGGAGCTATATTCAGTTAAGAGCCAGTCCTGTTTAACAGAAATGTTGCCTCTTCCCAGGTGCAACTGGAAGGAAAAACTTTCAGGAAATAACTTTTGTAGTTCTGATTAAGGTATTTTTTAAAATTCTTTTATTTATTGTAATTACTGTACTTATATGCTTCTAGGGGATACACATATGCAGGAAGACTTCAGGAGTAAGCAGAACGGGCATGCTCAAGGGTTCATCGGGATACTTGAAATGCAAAGACAGTCCCACTACAACTTCTTCTGCTCATAAGCTCATGCAAAAAATACTGGTTCTAGAAATGCCTTTTGTCATGACAAATACTCAAAAATGAAAGAAAGACAAATTTAAAACAGACATCACAAAGGAGAGATTTGCCACATCTGATACATGCAGAGTTTAGTCCTCCTGAAGGGCACATGCTTGGACCTACACCAGCTTTACTGGGGGCCAGTATCAATACAGGACCCACTGACACTGTTTCTATTGAGCATGCAATGACATGGCAAAAATTTTTGCATGCCTATTATTAAGTTGCCAACAAGCAATACCCAGCATTTAAAATGTACGTGTTTTGCATTCTTAGGGCCATCATTTAGCAAATGCTGAATCTGTGAACTCTGAAATTCTCATTGATGACCTAACACTTGAATCTTTCAGGAAACAGATGTCTGTTCCCAGTGTGATAAAATAAAGATCTGACAAGCATGAGGAGTGTATGCGAGAGCTTTATCGTCTAAGCTGCCTTCAACAACACGACTTTTCTCCACATCTCCATGATCTGAAGCTAGTTTGCTCCTGTACTTTCACCCTTTCCTGACCTAAAGTGTATTGACAATAAATACAATGTTTATTTCAGTTTGGGGTATTTCCTGCTTTTCATTTATGTAGCTAAATCACTTGTATCGACCCAGCTTTCCCAAACCTGGAATTTATCTATTTCCAAATTTTCTGCAGCTTCCTATTGAAATAAATTCGGATCTCAGCTTTCTGTTTGCAGGGATCAGGTCTACATACAATAACTTAGAGCAGGATTGTCAGGTAAAGGTGGCTAGCAACATCTATTTGTCGCAAAACCTGAAAATTTACTGAATTAAAATTTGGTAAGCAGCTTTCTTCAGAGACCAATGCACTATTAGCCAAGCTGCAGCATGGAGACTTTCTAAAAAACCCAGTAAACCAAGGTTTCCTTTCAACTGGAGAGGGGAGGGAAGGAAGAGACCATTTTTGCAGTTGGCTTTTCTTGTTTATTTGTTTCATTTTGGGTTTTTTTCAATGCTGGTGACTGTTTAGACAGTATAGTAAGTATAGTAAGTGGGACCCATAAAACTAACTAGAGTTGTGCCTGGCTTTTTTTAAGCACCCATAAAATAAATCACAGCTTGTGCTTTCCCTGAAGACGTGTGCCAGTGTTAAAAAACTGGAAGCAGAGCTAGGCAACAAGATGATCAACAATATATTCAGTGCAGGACAAGGAGGTTTTATTACAATGCACTATCCTGTTAAGGCAACAGCATCAGACCTACATTTTGAGACTTGTTCTGGTGGAAATGTTAGCAGAGCATGCAGTGGCACATAGAAAAGCGCACCAGTGCTGAACGCATGTTCATCCCTGCACCCCCAACAACCCCATAACAGATTAGCAGAAGGTGGTACACTGGATATAGGTGCCTTATCCAGATACCTAAAAGCTTGACGATATTTGGATTGTCAAACTCTGCCATTAGGGCTGCCTCCCTCTGAAAGTCAGCCTGCATGTCTGCAGATGCTTCTTCCTTCAGCATTTTCACTGCCACCATTGTGAAAGGCTCATACGGCAGCAGCCCTGGTGCCCTGCAAGAAGACAGAAAGGAAAGCATCAGTAATGGATGCATGCACACTAAATGTAGGCTCTACTTCTGGTGCGAAAGGGTAGGATGATAGAAGAGAAAAAGAAAAAAAGGCTGGAAGGCCCCAACACTGACTGAAGACATGTGAAAGACAATCTTCACCTCTTGAGTATACCTGCATTGCATAGTACAGAGACATTTAGTTTAGTTCAGGGGAGACTAAATCCAGTACAGATCCTTTTTATCACTGCTCTTTCTGCTTACAGGCTCTTTATCATGTCTAGTAAAGAGTTAAGTAACCAACAGGCTGGTAAGCAATAGCCTCTTCCTGGGTTGGAAACTTCATGGAAGGCAGGATGGACTCATTATTCCAAATAATTCAGTCATAATAATGATGTAATGCCAGATTTAAAAATAAACCTGGTTTATATGAAAATGCTGAAAAAGTCTCTTCACTGTGTCTTGTCCCATACCTGGCACCACAGTCTCATGTCTGTAGTCTCTTGACTACTATTAGAGTGGAAATAACAATTACAGTAAATATGTTTCCCTGGGTTTGCAAGGAAAATAGCCTTTTGCCATTGTTCTGTTTGTATGTGTGCCTGTAATTCAACATTATAAACCATCAGCTAATTTCAGCTGAATTTAATATGGTGGAGCTGAGGTACAGGAAATAGTTATGTTTCTGGAAGTCTTGTGGAAACAGGTGACAGGCCAGAAGGGACAAAGCATACATGTGCCCTGTCTAAAGAACAAGGTAATGCCTGAATAAGACACGATTGAATATTCAGCTAGAGCTTAGAGAGGCAAATCTGTAGGAAACACAGCTTCCTGACTTAGAGCAATTACAGACCCATTTTGGTTTCTTATCCAAAGGTCAAGGCACCCTCAAAAGTTTAACTACATGGGCTTGCCAAAGATTTAGACGTAGCTGTTGCCAAAGAAGAGGAACTTCCCACTCTTCAAACATGCATCAAACTTCAGACATGCATTTTGTTGCCCATGCAAATTCTTCCTAAGAGTCCTGCAGTTAGAACACATTCCTTACATGCATCTAGCCAGATCCATGGAGAGTTGTGCCCATTTAGGTGTCATGTTACTACGCCAGCCCGACTGCCCTACCATTGCTCAAATGCCAGGTTATTTTACTGCTCAGTAGCCCCAAGACGAGGTTCCGATTTCCAAAGCAAACTTCCAGTTTCCTTGTCATCTACTTGAGACATATGGCAGTTGCAACAGTTGCACTTGGATGTTGTAAATGTCAAATGTCAGAAGATGGCGGGGTGCCCATCCAGAAAGGAATTTCACAGGTGGCCAGATCACAGTTGAGACACTAGGGTGAGGAGGTCTGGTGTGCTGGAGCAGAGGAGCAGGCTCCACACTTGTGTGCTACTGCCTCCGTTATAGCAAAATGTCTTGAGTTTTTTCCCTCAGTGCTGGCAGCAAGTTTCCAGTCCAGGAGGAGGGAAGAAGTACTAGCACCTACCAGCTGCTGTCTAATATCAGTACTGGAGAAAATCAGCAGCAACAGCCTAAAGAAAACAGTAAAGTATTTAAAAGTAAAAATAGAAGGGCCTTTATCTCCTCCTAACAGCCTCATTGTAGATTACTACTCATCACCGGCTAGCAGATCCAGCACAGTGCAACAAAGTGCAAAAGCAGGCACAGCTCCACCTTCCCTGCTTTGGAGAGAGAAACTCACTCCAGGCTAAAGCCTGAAGGACACCCATCCATCTACCCTGCATTGAAATCCTGTAATGCAAGCTAACTTAAATGTAACTTAAGTGAGACTAAGCTGCTCCACACCTTTTAACAGGCCTTTAGGCAACAGCAAGTAATTTCACCCTCGGTAATGTGTGCTGATTCAGCCCAGTTCTTACCAGACCTGGGAAATTCACACTGACCTGGAACAAGGACAAACTCTGCAGTTTTTGCAGAGAGCTGTTGAACCTGACCTCTTTGGTGCCCAAAATACAGTGTTTGAAAAACAGACAGGGGCACATCTGCAAGGGAACAAGAGGAAACCACTGCTTCTGAAATTAATCAGGAGAATTCTGGCAGCAGGGTGGAACATGGAGTGCTTTCTACAAAATAGGTAAATTTCTCACAAAACTGGGCAGCATTAAAATAAATTACCTTGGGTTTCCTCTCTCATTATTATCTAAATGCTTAGAAGAAATATCCACGGTGCACAGGACAGACAGCAGCTGTCCTCACCTTCACCATCAATGATTTGTGCAACACTGGCACCATTTGGCTTTTAGGTACCTGCCATTCAAAGAACTAAGCAGAAGTGCAGCCAGGGATTTCACTCCGAGCCTACTTTCAGAGGGTGCCTGACTTTAAGTTTCAATCAGGTTTTCTTTCAAGAGCAGTAAAAAAAACAAGAGCAGCTTGAACCTGTACTTGAGATTGTGTCCTGTCCCACATCTTCATCAGTATCACAGCTGGGTAGCTTCTGTTAGATAAGTAAATGATGCAAACAACATTTACTGGGGCTGATGCAGACCTGTCTTTACCCTGTTCTTTGGAGAAATTAATATGTGGTCAGGAGAGTGTTCTTAATTAGCAAGGACTCCTTTTGTTGACAGTATTTTGGATTAACATCCACACTGTTTTTCAGCTATATTTGAGAAAGCAGGTCAAAGAAACACCCTTTGCACTTGGAAAGAACACAAGGAGACTCTTGTCAGAGAACCTCTGACCTTAAGGACAGCCTTGACTTTTGCAGAGATGATGAGCTGTGCCTTTGCAGTGGGGGTCTACTGGCCTGTTAGCAAAGACCCCATGTCAAGGCTTTTTGACAATCTTAGCCTGGACCATGCAACTCCATCTCTGGGAGAAAATTTGCACATTGGTCTGAGTTGAACTGTACAGGGCTGGTGCTCTGGTAGTATGTGGCACCAGCATGGTCCTCCCTGAAGCAGATGATCCTGAGTTGGCCATCATGTGTCAGTCAGAGCAGACCTGATCTGGATCCTAAATCTTATTTGAAGGATATCTGGTTACTTCCTCATCCTTTCAGTGTGATGTTGCCTCCAGTGAAGACAGCAGATTTTCAGGAGAAGCTAGTAAACGATAGCCCGACACTTCCTGTCCTAACATGTTGCTTGACCCAAGAGTGAGTAAACACTGAATCAGGACTCACAGCAAGCCAACTGGCAAAGACGTCGTTGGCACCATGCAGAGACCTGCATTTACAGGAGAGGGAGAAACATGAGAACAGGAGAAGTAAAAGGGCTGCTAAACTTAGCTCAAGATGTCCATTTAACACATGTAGACAAGTACATTTTATCCATCTGAGATGGGAAGGCAATCAATTTGAGTTGTGATAACTTCACTAACCTGCAGGGATGCACAGCTGGTGCTACTGGACGAGCAGTCTGCACTGATGTGCTAGTGCTGCACAGAAATGCCAGTGGCCTAACTGTTCCCTGGAAATATAAGGCCTTGGAGGGACTTTTATTAGAGATATGAATAAGGCAGCCCCTCAGAAGAAATCTTTCTGTGTCTCCTTTCCTGAGCTGCAGAGAGCAAGGGTTTTTTAGGGCATGGTAGTATGGTACAATCCGCTTTGCAAATGCTAGCTAGGAAGATGTGCTGCTTATTTTTTATTCCCTTCTCTTCCCTGCTATTGACAGGGGTTCCACTGTCAATAGCTAAAAAGTTTAATTAAAAGAGATTGCAGCACTGGAGTGGATGAAATCCACATCAAAGGTGTTTACACCACTTCAGCACTTGCTTAACCCAGCTTTAGTGACATTTGAACACCCTTTGAGAGGTCCTGCTCAATGTGAGAATCATTTCAAGCTCAGAAAGGTCTGTGCAACACTTAATTATCCTGAAGTTCCCAGCACAGAGCTGAAGCAGCACTTGGCAAAAACACCGCTTGTGCACCCACAGTGTGGTGAGGACCCCAGCCATGCCAGTGCAAAGGTGACACTACACAGCATCCTGAGTGTTATGCTGAGGCTGGGATGAGGGCTGCCCTGTACCCCTCTGCCAGCTCACAGGCAGTGACCCAAGCTCAGCTGTGAAGTGATTGCTACAGCTTTGCTCTCTTTTCAAGATGAGGCATGTTCATCTTTGCCATCCAGGCAAGCAATCAATTACAGGCTAAGCTTCTGTGATTTTTCCTCTGCACTCCCTTCCAACTTTTTTAGTGTGTTATTCTTCTGTGTTAAAGAAAAGCATGCCTGCATTTATTCCATTAGAAAAAGTGCATCCCTTCATAAGAAAAAAAATCCATCCCAGCCATTAAAATTCTTTCCCTGTGCTTTAATTCATTTAACACGAGCATAGCTCATTTCCTAGCAGATACATCAACAGCATAATCATAACATTAAAAGTACCTGTAATTATGACTGCTTTTTTCAAGGACAGTACTTTGACTTTGAAGTCAATGAGAGCAGTTCCACCAGGCAGGTCTTGGCCTGTGGTGGGACTCTGACACTCCCCTGTTCTTTTGAGGTCATCATACACAACTCGAAATACGCTACAAAATCAGCCACATCCCAGATTTTTTAACAGTACAAGACAAAGAAAACTGTCCTAAATAAACACAGAACTGGACAGTCTGACCACTTTCAGGAATTTGGGGATGGAATTTTCCAAGGACCCTAGTACTGACCAAAAACTGTTCTGCAGAAATTACGGACACTGCCCAGGTTAACAAGACATCCTCCAACGACCTCAGTCCAGGCAGGACTAGGTTCATTGCTGGGTTTTTCAATTTAATATTTTTTGCATTTGCAGAAGTCCATGATCTCACCTCCCATGAGATTTAACAGAATTGGGATCTCATCTAATACCTTAAATTTAAAGCAGGCAACAACAGGATGCAAATTCCAAGAATAATGAGTAACTAAAAGGGAACACTCACACACACATGAAAAATTGGCCTAAGTGGGTTGGGTTTTTAGGAGATTTTTAGTTTGGTTTGGTTTTGCCACTGAATCAAATTGAAACTGGGTCAGGACCTAACTGTAGCATGACACATTGCCCTCTGTGGTAGTTACTGGCCAGTGGTGGCTTTGTAACAGAGGACACAACACAGTAACTGGGAAATGCAAGGATTTCACAATAAATCACATGTCAGAAGCAATACTTTTGGCAAAAAGAGTGATGATAAATTTAGCCAAGTTTTTACACCAGACTTCGGTACGCAAGTAGAACATTATACCTACTAGAGAGAACAAAAGAGTCATTTGTGACAAAAGTTTAACAAATAACACAAAGCAATGAACAACAGAAACAGTACCTTAAGCTTGAGTATATGATTTGGTACACATGTGTTTGATCTTGGTTTGAGAGAATGAAAGAATGAATCATTTCCAGTGCCCAGATAAAGCAGTTGCCTGACTGCAAATTCTTCCCTGGTACCTCCAGATGGAGACTCACACACAATTCACTTACCTTGCTTGGAAGACTCTCCCAAATGCTCCTTCTCCAATATCTCTCACATATTCAATATTATTCCTGGGGTATTCCAGGCTGAGCAATTTTGGATTGAGGAGAAGGGGCATCCTTTGGTACATCGGGTTGGGATGCAGCCGGTCCAGGAGGAGTTCAGAGGGCAGAGTCGTGAGCGTTGGTGTCTCTGACTCTCTGAAATGATGGAGAAGTTTCCAGTCAGTATGCGCATAGCCCTCAACCAGGAGATAACCTAGCTATCTGCATCTTCTCCAGGCTGGTTTCTTCCAGCATGGAAAAGGGAGGTGCAGCAGGGCTGTTGAAAGTCTTGCAGTAAGATATCATGCCATGTCCCAAAAATAGCCACTTGGCCACAGGAACTCACCAGAGCTTGCACTGGGCTGCCAGAGGCAAAGGGAGGACTGCTCCCACCTAACAGGCATTAATGGGACTATGCTCTCAGAAATAGACAAGCCCTCTTTCAAATCAGTATTTGTTGCCTCAAATTAAGTCCTGAAGTTTACCTTTTTTTGTTTTTCCACTGCTTTCGCTGGCGGCAGCAAACCAAGATCGCAATGCTGAGGATCACGACCAAGGCAAAGCTGGAGATGATTGAGATAATAACAGTCATGGAGTACGTAGGGGAAAATGGAAGAAGAGGTGGCAGATTTGGAGTCTCTCCATTTGGTTTTCTTGTTCCTAGTGCTAACGACACTGTAATGCAAACAAAACCAAAAGGTTATGCTTCTGCTAGTTTATAGGGCTTTTTTTAGAGGTATTCATGAAGTCAAGCTAATAAGAGAGCTGGGAGTGCTGACTGACATCTGGCTGAACATGAGCCAGCTTGTGCCCAGGCAGGCAAGAAGGCCAACAGCATCCTGGTCTGTATCAGCAATAGTGTGGCCAGCAGGGCCAGGGCAGTGATCATCCCCCTGCACTTGGCACTGGTGAGGCCGCATCTCAAATCCTGTGTTCAGCTCTGAGCCCCTCACTACAAGAGAGACATTGAGCTGCTGAAGAGGGCCCAGACAAGGGTAATGAGGGTGGTGAAGCGTCTGCAGCACAAGTCTGATGAGGAGCAGCTGAAGAAACTGGGTTGTTTGGTCTGGAGAAGGGAAGGCTCAGGTAGGACCTTATCACTCTCTACAGCTACCTGAAGGGAGGATGGAGAGAGGAAATGGTCAGTCTCTTCTCTAAAGTAACAAGTGATAGGACAAGAGGAAATAGCCTTGAGCTGTGACAGGAAAGGTTCAAATTAGATATTAGAAAAAAATTCTTCACTGAAAGGTTCCAAAGCATTGGAACAGGCTGCCCAGGGAGGTGGTGGAATCACCATCCCAGGAAGCATTGAAAAAACTTGTAGATGAGGCCCTCAGTGACATGGTTTAGAGATGGACTTGGCAGTCCTGGGGTAAAGGTTAGACCTGATGATCTTAGGGGTCTTTTCCAGCCTAACTGATTCCATGGTTCTATGATGTCCTAAGAATTATTGACATTACAGATACAACCAGATGATTGCACGAGTGGACCATACTTAGTGAAGCCTGATTTGCAGGAAGTAAAACCTGGTTTTGCTTACCAAATATGAAAACTCAGGATCTGGTAAAGACCAAGACACAGTTCCCATTGAGCTGGTAAGGAATGTTTGCAAGATACAGATATAGGAACTCACATCTGATGGTCTCAAGAGTATTCAAATATAGTAATGTCTGCAGTGGGAAAGATCAATGGTCTGCAACGTGGACCACAATGTATCATGTGTCCTGAAAGGAATCTTCAGTGAGGAGTGTAATACCAAGTAAGTACACAGTGATACTTTCCTGAAATATCCCCTTGCCTCCAGCAATTTGCATCTTGGTGACCTTATGGGGCAAATATGGTAAATTAGTGTAAAATACATTCAGCTGCATAATTAAAAAATAATAATATTAATGTAGACACCTGCTGGATACTTTCTGAGACACTGCAGAATATCTAATCTGCACATGCAATGACTGAGAACAGAAAGAAATTGAAATCATTCTTTTTAAGGCCAGCTAACCTGATTCTGACTTGTGTTGCCTTAAGTCCACAACAGCCCTGCTCTCTGCAAGCATTATTGTCTTGCTCCCAATCACTGCTGTCTAGAAACTGTGCATCTTGGATTAAATACTTTGCAAAAATTACTCTATTCCTTGAAAAATAAATAACAGAAAGACTTAATTCCAACATCACAGAGCAAAGATATCTTTTCCAGATTTGTTTTTAGTTAGGTTTGTTTTTTGTTATTGAAAAAATTGCCAGAAGAAAAACAACCTTTGAAAATAGCCCCAAACCCTACCTTTTCCTCAAAACACAGTGTGGCAAATCTGTTTTTCACAATACCACAGGAAATTTGATTTTATCACTTGGCTTTAAAATAATATGGGGTAAGGAGCTCAATTTGCCTATCTTTATAGTCATTTAAGGTGCATGTTACATCTTCTGATTAAAGGTGCTGAGTGAATCTATGAGAAGAAACAGGACTGACTGAATCCTGAACACGGGACAGACTTGTGTGGTCATGATGCAAACACTCTGCATGGCCCCAGACAACAGTGACAGAAATCATAAATTGTAGTTGCCTACCATCTCCACAGGGAGACACGTTGCAATATTCCCAGGTCACAGATGGGTCTTTTGTATAGCACCAGGGACGTTCGTTCTCACCTCCTGGATTGCGGCAGTAATTCTCAGCATCTGACAGCTCAGGGAAAACCTGAGGAGTCCTCCTGTGCAAATGGGGAGCCTTGAGGGAGGAAACGAATTGGATTATTGTTTCAGTATAATTTTTTTTCCTGCTGGTATTAGCAAAACAAAACCAAACAAAACAAAGGAGCAAAGAAAGGCTGAGGTAAAACAGCCTTTCAGTGGCCTGCCGGAATGACAGAGAACACATTCTGCCACAGAAAAGGGAACTTGCAGACTGAAATATGAAGAGGGTGTGAAGCACCAGTGAAATCAAGAATGAAAGCAACTTGTCCCCTGCTCAGCCGTTCCACTGGAACTGGGCTGCCCAGCTCTGGGAAAGTCTTAGGAGAAGCAGATCTCAAGCATGGGTCCATTTGGTAGGTCTCACACTGGTGCGCACCTGGTCGCTCCACTTCTGGCAGGGAATGCCAGAGACAGTGATGTTGGCCCAGCCCTGGTAAAACTGTCCATTGCCAGTGTAGCAAGTCCCTGGGGAAAAAAACAAATATGGGGGTCAAGCATCTCAGACGATGTCGGCAGCAGGGACTCACAGAAATATACTTCATGTCATCACACAAGAGCACATGGCAATCAGCAACATATCTGAAGTGCATATATGGACCAGACAACTGCAGGCAGGGAACTGCTTAGCCTCCTGTTGGCACACAAATAGATTTTGAGATCAATACATAAGATCAAATCTGGTAAAACTCCAAAGAACAAACTGTAGCTCTTTCAGATTGAGGAAACAGGCCATGCACCTGTGATGGTTGTGCTGCATTTACCCAGTTCACAGCCCTTCCACACTGGAAGTGCAGAGCACAACCACAGTGAAGCCATCCATGCCCTTCCACACTGGAAGTGCAGAGCACAACCACAGTGAAGCCATCCATGCTATGCCAAGACAGAAAGCAAATTGCAGCAACAATTGCATGATTTCCAGCCTGTACTCTTACAGGGGCCCTAGCAGGAAGACATCCATATTCCTGGGACAATAACAGAGGGCTGAGATTCGTAAATTCCCATACTGGTATACCGCCTCCCTGCCTCTTGTTTGTCTTCTTAGATTAAATGTTTGGAAAAAGCCTATGGTTTCCAGCATGTGTTCCCATGACCCAGGGCATCCAAACACCTCAGTAAAGGAGTGACCATTAATTTCATGAGCACACTTAACCTATCACAAAGGCAAAGTAAAATGTTCAGACTTGGACTCCTCTATGTAAATTAAAGATATGTATTTACATATCTGTAAAGACATGTAAATTATCATGTTATGCCTCACATCTGCAACAAGCTAACGACCCCCACATGGCCAGCACCTATACCCTCTTCTGGGGGTAAAATCTTGTTAAGCTGCCCTAGTACACAGCTGTTTTTCTGAGCCCATAATTTTTAAATGTCTCACATTCAAAGGCAAAGAAAGCAGTCCCTGAAACCTGCCTCATGACTCAGCTAGTATCCAATATGAAAAAAAATTTTGCACAGATCTGAAATAAACTTCATTGTAACACCTTCAAGGAGCAATGTGGAGAGGTTTAGGGAGAGCAGCAACATTCAAGAAGAATCCCCGAGTCCTTGGAAAATGCAGGTGCTGTTGTACATAGTTTTGTTACAATGAGGACAGAGGGAATAATAAAGGTCATTCAACTGGTTTTAATGAATAACTTTGATGGACAAGCTAGAAAATGGTTCCTTTTATGCTCCCAAATCTTTGTGCACATAACAGTGCATCCAAAGTAAAAAAGAGGGGGAACACAAAAATGTTATTGTTACATCTTCTGATTTATGACCCAATAGGGTACACCTGTGCAATGTCACTCTGGGAAAATACTGTAAAAGCTGACAAAAAGGTGACACATTTACAAAGGAGAGAAAGACCATGTCCTGAACTTGCAAACCAACAGGCTGAAACCAGCCAATGGCTGCACCACTCATTTGCTGGCATTTGTCCCTCATGTTCCTTTCCCCAGGGAGGGGATGGCTGCCACTGTGGGCTGTAAGCATTAGGCATGATGCTTGAATGCCCACTGGGCACTAAAGAACTTGTCTCCAGGTATATAACACTTGGTGCCTTGGGTGGCCAGGTAGAGCCAAGTCCTTCCCAGGAAAGTAAATTCCATGAAACCCTGAGTTTCACTTTCTCCCTCCATGCAGAAGGTGCCTGCCATGCCAAATTTGCAGACCTCGCCTCACAAGAAGCATGGCAGGAAGAAGGTTTTTCCTTCTTTAATCGGACAAGTTCAGTGGCTGAGTTTTAAAACTGCAGTTGCATGTCAGTTGGAAAAGCTGGATGTGCATGTTTCAACCAGGACCAGCAGCAGGGCAGGAGGCTGACTGAAGTCATAGAAGCACTGTGAGGGGTAGCTGGATTGCAGCACTGTGGGGAGTGGCTGGATCTCATCACTGGTCTTTGAGGGTAATATGAGAAACAGACAGACTTCAGAGCTGATTGGAGCAAAGGCAAGGCCAGCTTGATGTAGGCAACCATGTCAATATCAGTAACAGCACAGAAGGCTGGGATGTATCAAAAATACTAAATATGGGTAAAACAAACCTAGAATGAATGGGTAGAAGGAAGGAGAAACAGCTGGAAGGGAGGGTACCACCTAAAAGCACCATGCCTCTCTAATAGACTTCAACAGTTACCATTCTACGTTCTTGCTAGGCTAAGAAGAGCTGGGAATGTGTTTCCCCATACCTTCGATGTGGAAACTCAGGCATTCCCTGGTAATAACCTGAATCCATCCAGCTAGGACCAGAACAAAACATAAAAATGCTGTGCAAGCTGCATCCTCAACAAAGAACATCATGCCCATCTCTAGAAACATACAGCCTGGAGCAGTTTACTTACTGGTTATATTCTCCTTCTTAAAATCTGCAAAAAGACAATACATGACGTAAGGAGGGGTTGTCCAGGATATGACATAACTGGGTGCTATCTCAGGAGCATGCTATGGGAAAAAGTTCCCTCCCAGCAGTGCTTAAGCAGCTTGCTTCTTTGCAGTGGCACCTGAATGGCAATTTTGCCATCATTAAGACTGATTTTGGCAATGAGATTGTTATGACCTTCTCAATAAAGAGCTAGGCTTTATTTACTTAAGGGATTTTTTCAACACAGTGGTTGGATGAGATAGGCAATCAGTCAACGAAGCTGTCACAGTTCCATCCACAGGCACTGACAGGAGTATAGCCACAATCAGCCTTTCCTTTAGTTGTAAGTTATGGATCAGATCTTTCCCCCTTCCCTCACCAAGAGCACAATTCTCCAAACAATGGGCAGTATGTGCCACCTTACCAAAGAAAGGGATGCGGGTGCAGGCGCTGGGGTCCTGGTGCAGGCTGGGCAGCCTGTTGCATTCAGGAAGAGTTAGCAACATCAGCCCTGGCTTGTAAATCCCCTTCTGAGAGTTTTCCTCCATTGAGAGCCATTCCTTAAAGCAGTAGAGATCCTTTACAGCAAGGCAATTCTCTCTACATTATTTTGCAAAAAACAGTGAAATACAGCAGTCAATGGCTTGATAACAATGGTTGCACTTAGCAGTTATGTGTGCAGGGGTTATCCAGGCTGACAGAAATCCATTAACAGGGTTACGACTTTAAGCCAGTCTGTCTGGCTCATAAACCATAAAGAAAACTGTATAAAATGCAGCAGCTTCCTATAGGAAACCTACAAAACTACATTTTTCATGAAGCAGGGTCATGCTCACAACACATATTCAAGTCTGAGAGGAGGTCATTCCCATCTTTTCCTCCAGATATATTAACATCTTCTACTAATAAACATCATGCCCAGAATTTATCTTAGCATTTTTTAGTACATTTTGAAAATCTCACCTGTCTTCTGTAAATTGTGCCCTAAAGGGTCATCTCATAAAGACAACAGGTGCGATGCAGTTCTTCATCTCCTTAAACTATTTGCCTGTGTTTTTAATCTCACAGAATCATCCATCTAATTGTCTTTTTTTCTCCACAGAAAACTTTTAGTTCCTTTTTCATCTGTCAGCTGTCTGCAGCAAAACCTTTACAGTACCAGCTAAAACAAGAGACCTAACTATCTCCTACCTAATGTATTACCTCCATAGCAGTGTGAAACATTCATTGACAAGAAGTGGGGTTTTTTGATTAACTGGTCCTTAGATCAGAAACTGCTAGTAAAGAAGGCTAAGTCAGAAAAATGTGCTTTATAAAAAAAAAAAAAAAAACCAACCAACACTAAAAAAAATACAAAAAACAAAAAACCACAACAACTGTACCAAACTGGTAAGTTTGAGGATTTGCTGCATTACTCAATCTATCAGTGATTTACTTCTTTATGTACTCATTCTTGATAACCTCAGTTGCAAAACCAGCTTTGAGATTATGTGCAGAGATTGCTTTCACTGAGCTCAGCTGAAGCCCTTTGCTGATCCACATTCTTTCCAACCACCACACACCAATGAAGACAGGTATCTTGGGGGGTTCATGGTGAAGATTTTAACCAAACTCATCACCTGATCGGCTGATGCAGTCTCTTATACAAAGGTTTGGGGAAGAATAGATGGCCATGAGTTTCAATGATGACTAACAATACTGCAAAACCCCTAAAGCCATTAGGATGCAAAACCCCTAAAAGGATGGAGGCCATTGGGAATTCTACGATGGCAACAGTAATGGATACCCTTCAAGTCTGCAGGCTGAAGCCATCAAACCCCAGCTGCACTGTGCTTTGTTTCAGCCAGAGCTGGTTTAATTCTTCCTCATGTCCATGAAAGCCAGAATGCAGACAAACAGTGTAATTTACCTTTTTAATGTTAAACACATAGAAAGGGAATTAATTTCTGAAGTGAATAAATAAATGTTTAGTTAGAGAAATGAGAACATCTTGCATATGAAACACTGGCCAACATGGGAGATCTGAATTGCAGTAGCTTCCTTCACTCCTGAAGCCTTAGTATCCTTAAACACGTCCTTTATTTGGTATGTAACTGCAAAGTGCAAAGGACCATTCCTCTGCAATCCTGCCCCTCTAATGCTGCAGGCAGGTTACCTTCACCCACAAACCCATCTGGGGAGCATTGTGAGGCAGCTGGAGGGAGGGATGGTCAGTCTCTTTGAGCTGTATTCATACCATTGTTATAACACTTAATCCTGAGCAGCAAGAGCTTGATGAGATCATGTGCAAAGATTACTTCAGACTATTATTAGAAATTTTATGTCATGTAAGTGACAGATGAACAAAGAACAGTGGCAGCAGAAGACGACAAATGGGCCAGTAGCATTTTAGGACCCATAAAGGACTGTTTAAGAAGAGGTGGGGACACACAGACCTGACCAAAGTGAGACATTCCCCAACATGAGACTGCTCTCTGCAGCCTAGTCGCTTCATATCAGCAAAGATTGAAACAGAAATGGAGAGTTTTTCTTTCTTTCACAGCTTCTTTTCACATAAGTTGCAAACGGTAAAAGGCAGATATAATCAAGAACTATAAGATGAGACATCATTTTCCCTTAAAACTAAGAAAACACTAATTTTAATCAGACTGCATCCTGATTTACATAAAGTGAAAATTCTTCCATGCTTTTTCTTCTGCTTGACTTCATCTTGTTCAACTCCCTGATTATTTTTATAAAAGCTTTACTCAGTCTATCAGTTGGTATTCTTGTTAGCTAGTTTCCAAACCAATATGAACATTAAAAACTATATAGGGAGATAAAAAATAGTGCAGAGAATAAAAAACAAGATGAAAAAAAACACACAGAAATATGTTAAGGTGAATATGTAGTTTAAAAACTGGGAGAATCCTCCTGCCTCTGAGATAAATTCTTACTCATGAAGCATTTCAGCTGAAAACTGGCATAGTCTGGCCAGTTTCTGCAGAGAAGTATAAAGTTGTCAGTAAAAAGCAGATAATACAATTGGAAAGTAACCAAGATCATCTGAAATGTTTTCAAGAGCCCCCAGAGGTCTCAGCTGTTCACAAGAACCTATTAGATATCTGAATTATAAAAGCAAGTATTGGATTATGGCTTTGGAAGACCTGTTGTCCAGCTGATGTGCTCTGGAAACAGGAAACAGGAAGGATGCTATTCCAGAGCTCTTGTCATGAAGAAAGACGCATTTAAATCTACATTAAAATCACACAGGGAAATCATTAAAGTGGAAAATCATGACATTGACTTGTGGATTTGAAGAAAGATGATGCCAGGCAAGCCCATTAAGATTTAGACATTTGCAAATGCTGTGCCTGTTAGCATGAGATTAAGTGCAGATTTATGCTGATTTATATCACTCTGACTTCAGAAGTGCCCCAGAAGTACAGGCCTTTAGTCAAATCACTATAAGCTCTGGTCCTGCAAGGCCACTCAGGAGCAGGGGTAGATGAAGCCAGACCCAGATCCCACTGAAATGCCTTTTGGAGTACTGTGCAAAATCTTTAGCTGACAAATGTACTGTGCATGTGTGGCTCAAATATAAATACTGTCACACATTTTGAAAAAAGACAGAGAGCTCATGTACTACAGGGCACAGTGACAACGACCAGAACAACAAGGTGGCAGGGAAGAGTCTGCTAGTGAAAAGCAGTGCGTGGCTGCATGATTATCTTGCAGTCACTCTTCTTTCGCAGGACATTTGCCACCACTGTGCTGGCGGAGGAATACTGAACTGGATAGAAACCAAATACAGAATACAGTGTATTGTCAAACTTTGCACTGGGATTTTCCTCTGTGCCTTTGCTTTAGAGATATCAATGCAGGTGCAATCAAAAAGGTTGTCGACTAAAAGACAACATGCTGCTGATTGTTCTAAAAAGCCCCTACATAACTGGAAAAGTAATTGCTGGTAAACTACATCTTCCCCAAGTCCAGCTGGTGGCATGCTTGCCATGTTTGCAGAGCAGATTTGTGATTTAGTTGAGACACTGTAGTGGGACTCTCCCACTGAACACAGATCTGAATAATCTGTTTTAAGATGCAGTTCAAGGGAGACCAGAGCAAAGTACTGCACTTATGCAGAGGTGTCAGTTGCACAAATGTGAAATGGGTAATGACCAGACAACATTCTTCCAGGGGCTGAAAATGGATCAGTTATGTTAGGAAACAGAAAGCTTCACTCTGAGACATCATATATGAACTGTCCTCTGCAAAGTACACCAAGCAATCATGGTTCTGTTATAGTTCAAACTAACAGAACCTGGGCTATATATATTTAGTGCTTAAGGAAAGATGAGGAGCAGAAGCTTCAGAGGCCAGAAAAGCAAAAGTTGTGAGCAGAGCTTGGAAAAACCTGCTTTATTCTAATCTGACAAGTTGGAGAAGATTAAAATTTCACTGCAAAGTAGGAGGGAGGAAACTCATTCCACCATCTGGCCATGGTGGGAGGACAAGTAGCAATAAGGGGAGGGTTGCTCAAGAGGTTGTATTGCGAGGGAGCAGTGTCTCAGCGTCTGTCTCACTGGGACCTATCACACAGACACCTGTCAGCAGTATATTAGTTGTAGTGGGAGATGCTCTGGACTCCTTGGAGTTCCTGACAGCCGTGTTTCAAAGCACATTTTCTGCATATGGGAGGATACAAGAGCCAGATGGGAGGTTTGGTTTAGCAGGTACAATTACACTGGCAGTGTCTCTGGTATCGTCTTTTTATGTTTCATCTTCATTGTTATGGGAAATGCTGGATGATTAGTTTATTGCCTTGGACAGTTTTGTTGCACACACTCTGACTATATCTAGTCAAAATTCTAAACAAGCAATTACTTTTGATAATAATAATGAGCACATACTGACCTAGTAAGATTTAATCAATAGCAATATGTTAATAATTTTAATCAATTATGTCATTCAAATGGATATTTCTTTTCAACACTGTCTGCTAAAAGCCTGATATAACACAGACATCTGGGCCTGAAAGTCAGTCAGTACCCTAGCAGTGAACACAGAGACAGCTGCATCAGGTCATCTCTGTGTATACAGAGGAGAGAGCAAAGGGAAAACTCAAGCAAACCTAGAGGGCCCAGTTTCACTCAGTGCTACTCCAAGACTGGACAGACCCTCACCACTCCCCTCCTGCCTACACATCCCCAAGAAATAAAGTGAAAATGAGCTTTTTTTTTTTTCTTTTCTTATTTATTTACCTGCACATTGGTTTTGGAGCTGGCCCATCTCCTGAGGGGTTGCACTCCTGGAATATGTAGTTACACAGCAGAGACTCAGCAGCCGGTTGGCAGAATGAACTCACCATTTTCAATTCAGTCCAGGCAGTGTGCACAAGCAGTTCTTGGGTCTCCTCTGGGTCAACATAGGAGGAGTTGAAGAAAACAAGAGCATCCTTTGCCAAGATACCACTACACACCTCACCTCTGTACACACTGCAGTAGCCTCCATCACCCTTGTACAGCTTGCTGTAAGAGACAAGACCATATACACAAAGTAAGCTCACAGGCCTAAACACATGCAAAATAGGATGCCTAGGCTCTGTTTTTGAATGAAGTGGCATCCATAAGGCTTGCAGAGGGCAGAGGAGAGGGTAGATGTTTATAATCACTAAAACCAGCTAATACCATTGAAAAATGACACTTCTGCAAGGAACAGGGCCCTGTGTGAGTGCAGGGCCCCCCTGGTAAGCTCCAGGGCTGAGGTTCTGGTCAACAGTTGCTAGCAGTTAAACTGGGCAAAAAGACTGAGCTCTTGTGCACAGCCATGACCTAGCATGGCCTTTTACCTTGCCCTTGGCCCTAATGGGGAAAAATTCTGTTTTCCTGCTTCCTGGCAGTAGGGATCAGCTGCTACTTGCTGTACACCTCTGATAACTCAGGATTTCCTGCTCTGCTGGCTGGCAACAGTTTAATTTTGGATGGTCTCAATGAACAGGAGCCAGGTGAGTCCCACCCAACACATGCCAGGGAATTCTTCACAAGATGAGACCAGCCAAGCTCCTGCTTGCCTGTCTCAGTTCCTCCACCCCTCCTGTCCCTGCCTCTTTTCCATTCACATTTAGGTGGGAGACATACGGCATAGGCCTCTGCACTTTTCCTTCTGGTGCTTCCGTATAAGGTACATCCTCTCCTTTTTTCACGTCTCCTGACACAAAGCATGGAGACAAAACTATGGCAGAGCAATAAAAAGCACAATAGGATTGGCTCCTTCATGGGCTATTTATTTATCTTTACCACATTTTTTGCATCTAAAAGGAGGCAGATCTCATCCTTCCTTTCTTCCCCACAGCCATCGGAAGGGTGCAGCAGCATGATGGCATGAACAGGTCAGCTGCTCTCCTAGCAGCTCCCACGACTGCCCCATGGCAGCAAAGCCTGTGGGTGCGGATGTGCTCTCCACTTGGGCAGCCTGTGGGGTGCAATGCCCTTGGTATGGGGTGGAACCTGGAAAACAGCCTCCCCTGTGAGTGTGGCAGAAGCCAAATCGGCGGGGGGGGGGGGCGGGGAGGGGGGGCTGGGTGCAGCCCCCTTTCCCCCTTTCCCTTGGCCAAATAATTGTCCATTGTCAGCCCTGGTGGCTCTTGTTGTTTTCCTTGGACGGATACAGGATTATACAGGATGCCCAGATTCCTGCTTTTTAGATGCTTCTCTCTGGAGATGGTGCTCTCTGGCCCTGGTTTAGTTGCCCTACTTTGGGCTTCATGTAATTTATTTTTGTTAACTATGATTTTTTCCTACATGTCACATTGGCTAAAAAATACAGGAAGGCACTGATTCCTTCAGCTGGCACTAAAACAGCAGTGATGCTGTGTCACCTGCATCACCCTGTGCTTAAGGGACACCCCTTCATGTGACATAGGCACCCCCAGCATCCTGCATGACACCTCCCTAGCACAGAGCAGGCTTCCCCACAGCACTCTGCTGCCCCCAGCACCCTGTGTGGTGGCATCATATCATTGATGTTTTCCTGATGATGCTGTTGTGTTTAATCTGACAGGTGAGTCCTTCCTGTGTTCCAAGAAGTAAAAGATGGCACAGGCATGCCTCGAGCACCTGTGCTGCTGAATTCAGTGAGATGCAGAAGCAGCCTGGTAAGAATCACCAGTGCTAATATTGTATTTCCTCACTTTTTAAAAACCTGTACAGAGATATGGACCAGACTGCAGTGGAGAAGCAACAGCAACGTGTTTCTCACAATGCCTTGCCACAGAGTGGGAAGTTCATGCAGCAAAGGTTGAGAACAACTGCAGCACAGAAGGGCTGAGCATTTGATCACTGTTCCCATGTCTGTCACAACTACACAGGTGCAGGTGTAAGGCATGTCTGCCATTACAATCAGGTGGTCACTAAATCATTTGCAAACTTCCTGAATCAATCTTGTAAGCCCCTGTGGGGAAAGCAAGCACCTTAGCAAGGAGCTTGTGTCAGCAGAGCAGCAAAGCCATTTTGCTCAGATTTTCTCAGGCTCTGCTCTTTTCTCTAAGGGCCAGTAGTTTCCAGCCCTCCTTCAGGCTAAACCTCTCATTTTCCCTCGAGACTGGCCTGTCAGTGCAGCATGTAGAAATATGCTAGGACTCTAAAAAGAAAAAAGCCAGCCGAATTGTTCAGTACTCCAAAAAATACTAAGCAAAAGTATATGTCTGATCACATGCAAGTGGCTTTACTCATCAATAACTCTGCTTGAAACAACTATCTAAACACCTCTTGCCCTAATCTGGTGCTCATCAAATCAAAATACATTTTTGTCTGCATACAGACAGTAGTTTAACTTGCAGTTAGGTTTTTGCTTCTATATTTATAAGGCCGGTGAAGTTGTGGGTATGCAACAGTGAAAGGAATTTACTCCAGAATAGTCTGACTACTGCTGTACTTTAAACACCCTTACTGATGTGTGATCCACCACTTTCTTGATACAAAAACATCCCTCCCTACCTGGGCCCAGTCCCCAGTTATGCCTCTATAAAGAAGCCTGGTCTTCCCTTCAGGTGAACCACAGCTGTTTGCTTGGCATCCAGAAGCCCTAATTAATCAAATCCCCTGGGTTATAAAACCATTGAATGGTTTGGGTTGGAAAGGACCTTAAGACCATCTATTTCTAATCCCCTTGCCATGGGCAGGGACACCTCACACTAAACCATGTCACCCAAGGCTCTGTCCAACCTGGCCTTGAGCACTGCCAGGGATGGAGCATTCACAACTTCCCTGGGCAACCCATTCCACTGCCTCACCACCCTCACAGTAAAGAATTTCTTCCTTATAGCTAACCTGAACTTCCCCTGTTTAAGTTTAAACCCATTACCCCTTGTCCTATCACTGCAGTCATTATTCTCCTCCCTGGCCCAGAGAAAATCCCCAGAAAGCCAGAGAAAGTAATTCTTACCTCCACTCTGACAAGATGCACCGGATCCAGGAGTGATGAGCCAGGAGAAAAAAGAAATTGAGAAGATATAAATGACATTTCATTGCCCCCTCTGAGATGTGAGGATTAAGATTTCCATATAAGATTTTCAGACAATTAAACTGTCTAGAAAAGATGCAGCTAAAATCTGTCCTTATTTCGTACTTGCTTGTGAGGAATAGTTGGGCAACACTGGATGCTGTGCAGGGAGAGGGAATGAGGTGAAGGAAAAGGATTGCTAACTGCATTTCTTGCTGAGGTGGACTGTTGCACCTTAAACTCATACTTTTATCCTTATACTTTGAGTCCCGCTTAACTGGCAGGTAGCAGCCTTCACTTATGCACCCAGTACTGCAGGCAGCAGATGGATCAGGAGGAAGACACCAGGGCTGCAGGAGATGGGCTACACTGGCATGGAAAGGTGGTGCTAAGCATCTGCCTAGGACTGAGACACCTCTGCCCTAGGACCCCTGGGAGCTGGGAAATGCTCCTGTTCAGGTCTAGGGGTGCTGCTCCTCTCTTGCTGAGCACATGCAGTCCGAAGGAGATAAGCGCAGCTTCTCCAACCAACCTAAAACACTTCTTCCCGACTGCATTTGCAGCTCTGCTTCATGGGGAAAACACTTGGCTTGGCTAAAAGCAGAAGCAGGGATGTGAAATATAGTATCAAGCACTGAGTCTGTTAAGGGGCAGAGCTTGCTGCTAGGTTTCAATGCCCAGTGTAAAAAAGGTCATGGTTATTTTATCAACAGAGCAGGAGATGAGGCATAAGGAGAGGGGCAGGACCAGGGCTACCACCCCATGTCTGGAGACCTGGATGATTTCTCTTTCCTCTAACGAAACACCCCTGCCTGTCCCAAGAGAGAAAGCACAAGCTGCTACACTTGGTGTGACAAATGCTATCAGCTAGCACAGACTATTGGTATTTCTCCTCTTTGGATCATCCTGTCCCCATCTGGGAGATGTCCCTGGGAGTAGAGGTTACCCCAAACACGGTGAGGTACTGCTCTGACAGCAAGCTTCCTGCTTTCTGAATGCAAAGCCCTGAAGAAGTCAAACTTCTCACAGAAACTATTTTCACCTTGCTGATAGGTGATACCAAGCCTGGGTTGTGGCCATGACTTCCTCAATATGGATGAGCTTACCAAATGTGCTTCTGGAACACAAAGTACAAGATGGCATCAAGCATTCAGGAAATGACAGCTGTGCCAGTCTCCAAAGTGTAAGAATGTATGAGGAAATAGCCTGGGCTGGGGAAGCACTTGTACTTAAATTTAGCCCCCTGCACACTATCCAATCTCCGAGGCTTTCCCTCCTCCTCCCAAGTACTTCACACCCCTTGCTCTCCACAGCAGGGAAGCGACTGCAAGGGTAAAACAATAGTGACCCCTTCTTTCCCAGCATACCTGAAACACTGATGGTTGCTGCAGCTTTGGCAGCTCCAAATGTTTTGCTGTGTTTGTTCATGGCAAGGCAAGTGAACAGGCCGGGTCGGGTGACGTACACCTGCAATCTGGAGTCAACCACTCTGTCCTTGACATTCTCTGCTATAGATCCTGCAGAAACCTAAGAGACCAAAAAGCCCAAGGCGGTGATATTTCCAACAAAGGCAAACAAACAAACTGAGGGAAAATCTGAGACCCAGCCCAAGTCATTTAAATTGGTAGAGAAACACGTATCAAGTGGATAGAAGTGGCAGAGAGCTAAAGCTGCTGGCTTTATTTTGGTGCTTTCATAGCAGCTGACTTCACATACAAAAGCAAATGTTAAGGACCTCTCCTATTTCACAAGTCAGCAATAATTTTGCAATTAATTTTCTGTTCCAGAAGGCTGTAGTCTTAGTTTTGGTCATGTAATTGAGCTGGATAATTGCTCCAGGGCCTTTTCTAGAAGACTGTTTGCCTATTCACTCCTTAGCAAGGAAGGGCACAAGGTAACTTTGTGGACCCTGGCTATACAGAGGGAGAAAAGAAAATAGTTTGAAAGTTGTCAGTTCTGGATTAACATAGCCACTGACACAGTTCCAAAGCAAGCACTCTGTCTCCAGCACTTTGCAGGTACACGATAGATTTTCTTATCTCACACCTGCAAGTATGGAAGCAGCTGCAGATGTGGTGATCTTGGCGATTTTTCCAGGTCAGAAATTCCGAGGTAAATTATCTTGGAATCTGCTGATTTTGGCCAGTTGGTCTTAATTTTATCCTGAAGCCTGCTCTGCTCACATGGTATTCACTAAAGTAGGAGGACGTGGTACACCAAGAGTCTACCTTGCAAAGGCAATAGGAAGGGGCAATATTGCCTGTTCTACCCTTCATCCTGATAGAAGGCATTAAGCGTAATTCCAGCAAGGTGTGGTTACCAGTGCATCCCACCAGTGCATCCCACCAGTGCAACCTGGCCCTAAGAACAGCAAGAGTTGTTTCCTTGGATCATCCTAACAAAGCAGTCTACTTACACAACTATCTGAGAGGCCAGAGAGATCAATTTGATGTGTCTGGAGGTTAATAGAAACATTATTTCAATGTGATACGTGTTTGTTTCCAAAGGTATTAACAGTAATAACTAAAAAAGCATGAAGGGTATCACATCTTGAATAAGCAGGTTTCTCTCTGAGAAGAAAATGTTGAAAATAATGTATTTGTTTTGCCTCAGTCAAGATCAGCTTGGAGTTCTGGTGAGGAAATGTGATTGTGAAGAAAACACTATATAACCAGGCCAGCACAGTTTCCAAGTATTGCATCAGGGATGGGCGGGTTACTGCGCAAGTGCAAGGACATGGCCTTATGTCCTTTCCAACCTAACCATTCTATGACTCTATAATTCTTTTTAGGTGGGCAAGGCTGCTGCTCCCGCAAAGGAGTTTGCATCCTCCTCTTCAAAGACAGTTCAATAACCTCAGCTGATTACCTCTTTTTAAACAGATTAAAGGACAATTACAGGTCAGTGTTCAGCAACCATAATGTTGCAGATACACCTTTTAACGACTCACTGTTGTTTGCTTGTGAGCCAGCCCTCAAATACATGCTCCAGCCCACTTGCGTTCTGACCTGACTTACCCAGAGACAAGCACCATTAAGATCTCCTTGCCATATTTAAAATGAGGCAGTCTTGAGCACCACCTCTGACTGGGCTTTGATTTGCAGACAGGAATGGGGCACATCAGATCTGATCAGCCAGGCAGTGGCCCTGGGCAGGGACTGAGCATCGTTCCACACACCACTCTCTGGGACTAGTGCAGTGGTGGGAGATAGGTAAAGCAGGGGTCTGTGCTTCAGAAATACTCTGCCCTTGCCAGTATCACCAGACTCCCCGAAGATTTTTTCTCAATAGGAAAGAAGTCCTGAATGAGCAATTGCAGTTGTCTCAAAATAATTATCACCAGAAACTACCAAGGATTTATGGGGTTCTGTGGGAGCTGATCTGATCTTTTTGCTGTTCTCCCTAGAACCCTTGAAGGAATATAGAAAATTAGGCCTAATCAGACTGGATTACACTGTAAGGCTTAGAGGTGATATGAAGGCAAGAGAGCTGGCAGAGTAGCCCAGGCTCCTTACTAATGTATTTTAAACATATGGAAGGAGGGGACACAGACATCTTTCCTGGGAAGGAATTTGAACAAGAGGATTTATTGGTGTTGCTGGACAAGAAAATTAACAGGAATGACCATGGCCAGAAGGACTTGGAGCTGATGGAAGGTCAGTGAGAAAGAACAGAGGCAAATTGCCAGCCTGCATGCAGTGGCTGCTTCACCTACCTCCACAACATTATGTCCTGGGGGTTATCCTTAGAAAAGCTGTTAAAAGACCACAAAGAGTATAAAACATATCCACCATAACCATATGAAGACTAGAGGAAACCTCTGGCAGGCTCAGGCTGCAGAGCTGCTGCGACTGTGGTGCATCACTTACTCCCAGGGAGGCAGTATCAGGTGTCAAGAGGCTCTTCAGTTCAGCTGAAGAGAAGGCATTGCAATAGCCTACCCATCGACATGAAAGCCAGACGAGTTCAAAGCAGGCACCTATTTAGAATGGCCAGGAACATTAGACCACAGAGCAATTTCCTGTGAGAAGCAGTGGATTTGCATCTCTTGGTGCCTGCCACTGAAGAGAGTGTACCTTTCTTGAGGATGGGCTTCTAGCCAGGAATAAATCGGTGGCATGCTTCAGTGTGTCACCTAGGTCAGTCCAGAAAATTTCAGATCTATTCATCTGCAAAATATGCTGTGCATATACACTGCCTCACAGGTATTTTGCCTCAAGGCAGTTCGTACCACCTAACTACCTCAGTTTGCATATTTTGTCAAATAAACAATTTTGCCACGTTATTGTTACTGCATTAGAGAAGAAAGGTGGCTGCAGAAATACTTAAATGCACAGAAAGGTGGCTGCAGAAATACTTAAATGCACAATGAAGTCCTACGAACCCTGTCTCAGGGGAAGGCTGCAGGCATCTAAACCATTCTTCATCTCAGGCTTCCCAGACCATAACACTAACCCATGCAACACTCTGGAGAAGGGGGAGAGCTTTACAGAGGAAAAAACTGTAGCAGGGAGGGGAGGTGGGCTCAGCTTTATTGCACAGCAAGGCGCTAAATAAGGCAGGAATAGAAACCACACATGTTTCAATCGCTGGGCTGTGCTTCCTGCCACTAGCAGCCCTCCAGGGCAAAATGCATGAAAAAAAAAGAACTTACAGCTTTCCCATTTTCCAGCCAGGTGACAGAGGGGACTGGAAGGCCGGTCGCCGAACACCGCAACGTCACCACAGACCCAAAGGTGATATTTTGGGATTCAGGAGCCTTCAGGATTCTGGCAAAAACTGCAGGAGAAGGCAAATGTGCTAGTTGAACAACACTGTAGAGCTGAAGCTGTGCTGGCATGGGGATGCTCCTTCCCCAGCAGGCCTTGAAATAAGCCCCATGAATAAAAGCAGAGCATAGCACAGGCTTCCCGGTGAGTGACAGGTTTTGGAGACTGATGAGGAGGAGAGAGAAAGTGATTGGCATGGGCTTGTTCTGCACCTTACAGACCAAAATTTTACCTCTGGAGGTTTTTACATCATCTGAGTTCGATGCCTCAGAGGATGCAATGTGCAAAAAACTCAAGGGCAAAGTCATTGGCAGTATGCAGATGGGACAGCTTACAGCAAATACACAGCAAGCTACCATGCTGTCCTGCCAAGGGTCACTTCACGCAAAACTTGTTCAAAATCATCAAGGGGGACCATGGGCATGTCACACACCATGAAGTTTAAGGGTCAGATAAGCTCTTCAGTGTGACCACAGTGATTAGAAGTTACCATGGAGAGCTGCAAACCCCAACATCTTCCATGCCACAACAACCTACCCTAAGGGGAGAGAGTCCAGCACTGGGTTATGGGGCTGGCAATGACTTTAGGAAGATACGATTGCAGAAGGAAATAGGTTTTTAAGGTGGCTTTCCATTTCTACAGCACTTGCTTCCTTTGTGGACAGTTTGAAGATAATCACCCCCTGGCCCTGATTTTTAATATTTTTTTTTTTCTGGGGAAGGGGGTGGGATTTGTGAAAAGAAGAACTGAAGTATTTTTGCTGAAAACTTATTTCAGTGCAGAAACACAACTCTGATGGCCTTCACAAGCTGTATTTCAGCTGCTGTGCTTGGACTACACAGAGGAAAGCAGACAAGAGGAATATTTTTCAAGTGGAACATTTGAGTTTTGACCCAAACTTTTTAATGGAGATACCTGAATGTCTGTGCAGAAGCAGGCCAAATAGCTCTGTGCGATTTCTTACTCCAATTTCACCTGCTTAGTGAGTTAACACTTGCTCTCTTCTTTCTGGGCTGCACAGTAGTAACTAGAAATCTCCATCAGAAATTTTATTATGCAGGGTAGTTTCTCTTGGAGTTCTCAACAAGCCTGATTATCTTTTTAACCACATTTACTATCTGTATGGTTCCCCTTACCAACATATCTGATAATGTCAAGGTCATCTGTGTCTACTCAGAGCACCTCTTGGCACTGGCCACTGGTTTCTCTCAGGTGGAGATCTCCAATGCAGAGTGATTAGAAGACCAATAAGTGTCCCTTCAAAAAATGAGTATCTGTACCCATTATTTGGGATGATGGAAAGGCTTTATCTGCAAACTTTCAGTTGGAATAAAAAAATTATCTGTTTTCCACATAGTCCTTCCACGCAATCCTGGCCTGGGAAGGGGCTGAGATTCATGTTAAAAAAAGCCTAAAACTAGCTTTTGTTCATAGATAGACACTAAGAGTACATTTCAGTGTAGAAACTGTTTTGACTTAGGAGCACAGCCACTCAAGGGGGTCCTGGGAAGGGGTTTTTAGGAAGATTAAAGTCAGTGAAGTGAAAAGAGTGGGAAGTTACGTATTATATTCAGCTTCTAAATTGCTCCACTGTCTTCAAGCAGTCTCTCACTGTCAGTGCTTGGTGCCACTTGCTTAAAATCAAAGCGGAGCTGCTTTGGGGCCTGCTGAAACCCCCTGCCCCTCAGCAAGACAACAAGTACAAAGCTCCACCACTAACAAGGAAAGCTGCAGCCACTGGCCAGGAAGTTTCATCACAAATAATAAGTGAAATGAAAGCTTTGCCTGAAGTTTCACTTCAGGCCATTAACACCAGATGGTTATGAATTCAGCCCTGAGTGCTTTGGGCCAAGCTCATAATTACTTTTATATTTCAGTCAGAGAAACACTAAACTTCTGTGCCTGTCTCCTGGCAGCCTTGATGTGCATATGGCTCCCACTGAAGCCAGCATGTTAGCTCCCAGAGCCAGAATATGTCCCTTAGTGCTTTTCTCACGCTGCTGCTGGTTTCTTAGTGTACTGCTGGGACCCTGCCTGCCTGACAACCCTCCTGCTCACATCTTGCCCAGCTTCATTAACACTGAGCAAAGTCCTCTAACAGCACCCTGTTAACAGGTGCCAGACACAGGCGCGTACACCCTCCTCTGTACCGGCTGCTCTCTCAAAATCTGTAAGGAACTTTCAGCCAGGAATAAAAAAGGCATGTTTTGAAAATGATGGCAGTTGCACAAGCAGGGACCAAAGCTACAGGGATCATGGCAGCTAATCCAGCTCATGCACAAGAAAGCTGCATCCCACTTCCCGGGGTCTTCCTGCCAGTATTAATCATGCACTAGCTTTAGTATCTCACCACACTGCTGGTATGAGTGCTCATTTACCAGCCTAGGGAAAGCAAATGGTCAGGCCATTCACACTTAAAACACCAAATACAGGGACTGTGTGCAGTTTCAGAAAGCCAACCATATCCTGGGCTGCATCAAAAGGAGCGTGACCAGCAGGTCGAAGGAGGTGATCCTGCCCCTCTATTCTGCTCTCGTGAGACCTCACCTGGAGTATTGTGTGCAGTTCTGGTGTCCTCAACATAAAAAGGACATGGAGCTCTTGGAACAAGTCCAGAGGAGGGCCATGAGGATGATCAGGGAACTGGAGCACCTCCTGTATGAAGACAGGCTGAGAAAGTTGGGGCTGTTCAGCCTGAAGAAGAGAAGGCTGCGTGGAGACCTCATAGCAGCCTTCCAGTATCTGAAGGGGGCCTATAGGGATTCTGGGGATGGACTCTTCATTAGTGACTGTAGTGGTAGGACAAGGGATAATGGGTTAAAACTTAAACAGGGGAAGTTTAGATTGGATATGAGGAAATTCTTTCCTGTTAGGGTGGTGAAGCACTGGAATAGGTTGTCCAGGGAGGCTGTGAATGCTCCATCCCTGGCAGTGCTCAAGGCCAGGTTGGACAGAGCCTTGGGTGATATGGTTTAGAGCGAGGTGTCCCTGCCCATGCAGGGGGGTTGGAACTGGATGATCCTGAGGTCCTTTCCAACCCTAACTATTCTGTGATTCTGTAAAAATATCCATCAACAGCTACTAAGTATTCACATGTTACTTTTCCTTGTGGAAAATATTGCAGGTGTATTACCCAGCACAGGAAAAAAAAAAAAAAAAAGTGGAACCTTCAGGAAATAAGCTGTATTTCCAAAGTGTCGAAGAATGGAAGTTCCTGCTATCTCTAATGCTACTGTGTGTATTTCTAGGAGTTTCCAAAGTTGAAGTTGCAGATGTAATACTCCAACATTTCAAGTGCTTACACTTTCATGTTTTTTTAAAGTAAAGTTTAGCTATTTAACTGAAGTACTTAGCTCTAGATACTGTGAATTGAACAACCTGGGGTCTTTTTTACTTTATTTTTAAGTGAGACATTCCCTAAGACAAAACTCTGCAGTTCCAGGCATGCTTTGGGCCAACACTGACCAGCACACCCAGGGACATATTCTCCAAAAGAGAAATTGCTTGGGAAACATTGTTTAAAAAAAAAAAAAAAAAAAAGAAAAAAAAAATCAGATATTTCTCAGTCCCATCATCTATGGGTGGATGATAGCCACACTGCTGCTGCTGGCAGACTCAGCTGCTGTGGGAAAGCCAGGATAGGCTGCACGACAGCAGCCAGTGTCACCTTGTACCAGTGCAAAGCTGGGTAAGACTACCAGGGTGAGCTTGGGGTCCATTTTAGTGACTACAACAGCAAGGAAATCTGTGCTATAGGTAAATGGAGGAACCCAGCTCCCAAAACGGTGACTTTCTTTTCCGACACTATATTACACAAAGAAAAGAGGCAAAACTGAGGAAAAAAGATCAACCCTGATGTTGCCAACCTAAGCAACCAGCTGGGAGAGACAGGTGAAAAGACAGGAAGAGTAAGAACAGGAAATTGCAGTAAGTGTTTGCAAAGTTCATGTTATTTGGTGGGCTCAGGAGATTGCTTTGTTTTCATTTTGCCTCAGAATGAAAATTCCCCCAAAACAGGTGATTTTTAACACCTCATTTCCAGATCCTTATGAAAGTGGATTTTGCCAGGACCTTTGCTTGTTTAGCTACATCCACAAGGTTAACAACATTCATATCAAGACACCCAGGATCTCAGCGCAGGGTTTACCCAAGGGCATGCCAAAAAAGCAGTTAGGAAAGGCAAACGAGGAGGGCTTCATTGATTAATTTATTCAAGTGGAAAACAAAACAGAGGAGCTGGAAATGAAGCCCACCAGCTAAGAGCCAAGCCAGCAAGTTCAGTTTCACTCCTAAGCCCCTTAATAAATGTTCTTTCTTTACAGCCTTGCTAAATGATGTGCTGTGCACTGCAGGGCTTGCTAGGAGGTATCTGCACCATGGCCAGCTGCTCTCGTTTCTGAGAATTAGGTAACATCATCCAGTCCAAACAGTCTGGCTTTATTTCAGTCACAAAATTTTTATACTATAAAAAGATGAAAGCAGGGCCCCTGCCCAGCCCCCAGTTTTAACAGCTAACTTTTTCCAGGTGACTTTGTTTTCCTGTTGCCTTTGACTGAGCTGTGTTTCATTTCCACAGTTTGGGGCCTGATCCTGCATTCCTAGCATATGCCTGCCCTCTAACTGGGTAAGGCCCATTTTTCTCCTAAAGCAGGCTGGAGTGGGCCAATCACATCAAGGCAGCAGCTTGGGTGGCCTGGGGCCATGCTGCTGCTTTCAGGAAAGGGCAAAGGGATGCCTTTCAGAAACCCTCATGTACACAGCCCCACTGCAGGAAGATGCCCCATCTAGCCAGGGTTTCATAAACCTTAATGCTGGCTTTGATGCAGCAGACCCAGTAAAGTAATAGGCTGTGGGGTGGGGGTGGTTTCCAGAGCCTCTTCTGGCTTCAGTGAACCTTAACTTTCAGAGAATATGTGCAACGTTTGCCAAAGTACATGAATTAACCCAGCCTGTCAACATCCATGTGTAGTCATATTTAAGTTTGTTGCTAGTCCTGGCAAACACTAAAG